TAGCTGATTGGCATGTCACCATATTCTAATTTGTTGAGATTAGTGGGTGGAAATTGGTGGGTTTTTGTTAAATGTGAGCCAAAATCATCACAATTAAAAGAACCAAAGACTTAAACTACTTCAGTCTGTGTGCATTGAATTTATTTAATACACGAGTTTCACAATCTGAGTTGAATTACTGAAATAAATGAACTTTTCCACGACATTCTAATTTATTGAGATGCACCTGTAGTCGTTTTTTTTTTTGTACACCAATAATCGGTTTTATTTACAACTTTGAAAAATATTTTTTATTATTATTATAATTTTTTTTTTTACAGTGTACATACAAGTGGAGTGATACAAACATCTCAGTGCTGTTGGTAAATCAAATCCGATTTATATAGACAGATGACTTGTCTACAATGCTGCATGAATAAAGTTGCTTTATTGCCTTTAATTTGAATACAACCCACTCGTAGATGAGCTTGAAAATGAGATGTGCGAAGATCAACAGCACTACACAAATGCATATGACCCACTTATTATTTATGCTACTGTTCATTGCTGTTCACAGTCCTTCCTCATTATTTGCGACATAATCACAACCTTGTTTTGAATGTGATTATGGTTGCGTAGCTTCAGGGCACCATTGTGTTTGAGAAGTCTGTTTCACTAGAATTGGCCTTAAACAGTGCTCTGGGAAAATCGGAGTATTAATAACAATTATTGGCCTTCTTTAGTTTCTAAAGGCACCTTAAGTGTTGGGTATTGACTGTTGTCTACTGATTTCACAGCTTGTCACTTGGGGTTCAACTCCCATTGACTCAGAACACTTCAAACAAGCCCTCATTCACCAACACACTCTCCACATGCATATGTGCAGGAAGATATTATTCTAAATAGCATCATGATCAGAAATAGAAAAATTAAAGCATGCACTTGACATGTAAGGAAAATTGATAGTTTGCTGTTGTTTTCTAGTCATCTACTGAAATGGTTTCATTTAATCCTTACTAGTTAAAAAAGCTGCCAAATACAAACATGTATCAGTTTTATTGACTGATTTGTGTTTATAGGAAATGCATGACGACAGTGAATAAGGCACGGCATTATTTAATATTTTAAAAGTGCTATTAATGTTGCTGGCTGACTGATATGACACGTCACTTTTCATTGCCTTCAACGGAAAATCCATTAAAATGTTATATATCAGGCATATGAGGCATTATTATATGATTGATTCATGTACAAATACAAGCATTACGTTTAACTTTTCCAAACCACAAACTATGACAGAAGCAGCATTGAAACTTTACCTGCCATTAGAATTCACGCTCTCAATTCATCTCTGTAAACTAGAATTGTAACTAGGAGGAAAATTCACAGTAGAATGTTCATTAAATATGAAGTATTGCATGTCAGCAAATTTAATTTGAAAGACAAAAATAAATCAGCAGCTGATGTCAGTATATACCTAAACATGAGGGGTATCAGATACTTAGTGCAGAGCTATTCAGAAATGAATTAGGTTTCATCAACAGATGAGATCTCATCATTTCTAAGGCGAGTATCCGGATAAACAGTCCAGTTTAGACATGAATTCTCATGCTGGTCCAGGTTTGTTTATGCTCTTTGTTGCTCAAGTGCCGGTGAAGCTGGTTGACCAAGAAAGTCTTGATGGCTGAGGCAGGAAAAACAGCTTAACGCAGTATTAAGACAGTCTTAACTGGTCTCCTAGTTTGGTTTTAGGTATTTTTTGGCTGGTCAGGCTGGAAGAGACCAGTTGAAGACCAGCTTGGTCAGGCTGAGCTTAGACCAGCAAACCATCTTAGACTGGTTTAAGCTTTATCAGCAAGTGACCCAACTGACCTTACGACAGCAATTACTTAACCGCTGCTGCTGCTTTTCAAGGGTGGGTGTACTTTATATCCGTCAAACAAAATGACATTGTGAGTCGGTGATGTACATGAAAATTATGTACTTGATGACTTTGGAATAAATTGCCTCAAATCATTGTGCAGAAAAACAGAAAGCACAGGCTTTTGTATCAGGTTATTATGCTGAAATACTAAATATAATGGTAGAAGATGAAAAAATAGTGAAATTACCAGGGAAAATCTAGCCAGGCGTGAAGAAGTCAGACAGTTGATGTCATAAATATTGACATTAATAAGCAGGAAAATTATGTAATGGACGCTTTCTGCAGATGCAAACAGGACAAATGCATTTTGTGTGTGTTTTTCTATGAATGTCAATGTCCTAAAGAACGACAAGTGCTATTTATCACTTGTATTATGTTAAAATTCTGGATATAATTATGTTCTGAGTCAACTGATCCTAAATGAATTCAATACAATTAACCCAAAATCACACTCTGAGGAAAAAAATCAGGTAAAAACAGTAAACCTTTAACATGAATACTTTTCACACATTACAAAAAAGTAAACATGAGAACATGATTTTCAAAACTAAATTTAAACATGATTTTTAAAACTAACTTTTTAATTCACTCAAAACGTATTTTTTTTAAAACATCTGTTTTTCACAAAATGTGAATATTATAAAGTGTTTTAAATATTTTTTCAAAATTTTTATGTGCGCTTTTCTGAAGCTCAGACAGTAGAGCATGGCATTAACAACAGAAAGATCAAAATTCACATGCTTGAACTACTTGGGGTCTGTGCACCTGCCTTTAACCTTGAAAAATCTGTATTCTACTATTCCTTTCCTTTGAGCAAACATAGAGATGTTTTGCTTTTGGACGATCATTCAGAAGCTTAGTTGTTCATGCAGTCTACAATTCAGTCAGTTTGACAGACACAAGTCAGAGAATTGATTTGATTGGCTATTTGGGCCGTCAGTCATTTATCTGTCGTAAGGTCAATTATCAGCCATCATTTGATAATCATGTTTTTCTAGAACTCATTGTGTCAGTGATTAAGAAGGGATCCAAGAGACAGTTGGTTTGCTGAAAACCGTTCTGTAGCCATTGACGTCGATCCAGACACAGGCACTGACTGGCACAGACTTGCGCTGCAGGTGGTCAGGAAGTGCTTTCTTCTTCCTCTTTCTTCACTGTAAGAACAAACATGCAATTTTATTTACAGCCACCTCATAAACGAGCTTCAATGGGCTCCTCCAATTAACTAAACAACTGTTATTTCCAGACATATCCATCATAATTACACTCTCGCACATGACATTGGCAGATAAATATTCTATTCTAGCTGCATCTCTCTCTCTTTCTTGGCTGGCTTTGGCTTCTTCCTACCTCTGCTTTTGATTTCTGAGAGCACTGAAGGTCTGAACACTGTTGCGTGGAAGATGAAAGGTCAAAGGCTACCGACGAATTCTATGGCACGTTCCCCAGATATAATGAGCACTCTCATTCTTGAACAGTTCATCAAGGTTTTTAGTCGAGCCTTATGCTCTCTGTGGAAAACAAATCCGGCTTATTAGCCAAATATGTATCTCTTTTTTTGCACCGTCTCTGTGGCTGCATGCAAATTTCACCCTTTATTTAAGGAGAAAATCACCGTTCCTCGTATTCCCCGAACTCTTCACTGTCTGCGTCAGACAGCTTAGCATATACAATGGGCTCATCGGCGACTTCAGCGGCATGGCTAATGCGAGACCTTTTGCGCTGCTTAATTCCGGAAGAATAAACAAAATTATTCAAACACAGATAATTAACCGGGGAAACAATCAGCTGTATGAATAATAATCCGCAGTGGTAGATATTATAACTTTAGAGCATGAGAATAAGATGGATGTGGGTACCTTGGGCATGAGCTTATCAAATAAGGCTCGGTAAATGTACCCTGAATGAAATGAGTCAATCATTTTAATGTGCGAGAGAAGCCCTGAGGAGAACAAATAAGCAATCACTACATCACGCAAGGCGAGCAAATGAACCTGCTGCACAATTAGGCAGGGTCACATTCGGCGAGGGCTGCGAGCACTCCATGTGCTAATGAGCTCTGTGCGTGTCAGGGAAAGAGGGATGGAGGGAGAGCGAGAGATAGTAGTCGCCTGAATAAAGAGCCTACAACCACAGCACTTACGTTGGAATAGATAGCGCTTCATTAAGGACACTTTCACACCACAGCTTTTGGTGCCATTTGACGTCAGAGTTCGGTTCATTTTGTTATAAACGCCATTCAAGTTCTTTTCAAAAGGTGGTCTGGGGTGTAAATTATTTGTACTCAGGTACAGTTCACACACAGTTGATAGGAACACAATCAAGTCACGGAAGTGAACTACTAATGCAAGTGCTGTTTCATGTGTTTAAAGATTTGGTACTGAATTCACTGACAAAAACATGAATAAAAATGGAAGAAAAGTTACGTCTGATGACGCCAACAAACTGGGGTTTGGAATCAAAAGAACAATGTGAAAAGAGTGGGGGCAGAGGGAACGTCAGATTTGGACCAAGATATTGAACAAAAGTTTGGTCTAAAGTGTATGATTTTGGCAGCATTTGTGATAAACTTCGAGAATTGTAAAAGATTTCTTTAATTGTGAGGCAGTCTTTGATCACTTATGCCCAAAGTATTCTTTATTTTTGACACGAATGCTCATCGTGTACGTATAGCCAAACACACAGCCTTTCAGCATGCGCCAACAGTCAGATAACATAACTAAAAAGCCTACAACCACAGAGTTATGTGTATCTCTAAGCCCCCTCACATTGATAGCGCTTCATTAAGGACACTTTCACACCACGGCTTTTTGTGCCATTTGACATCAAAGTTCAGTTCATTTGGAGTTCTCATCAAAAGGTGGTCTGGGGTAGAGCTGCACGATAAATCGAAATGGAATCGAGATCGCGATTCGACAGAAGCTGCGATTGTCATGCGTATCTTTCAGTGAAGCACGGTTCTGTGATCAGCAGTAAATCTCCATCCAAAGGCCAGAGGGCGCTCTCGCGCTGAAACTCCAAATACGCCTCGCAGAAGAAACC